AGCTACAACCCTACAACTATGTAGGGTTGTAGAACTATGTTGAACAAGCTGAACTATGTTCAACTATGTAGAAGAGCTACAACCCTACAACTATGATACACAACTATGTACTGGGGCTTTGGGGAGAAAAAAGGAAAAAAAAAAGGAGGAAGACTGGCAACAGATGTTAGCGCAGGGCCAGTCTTCCTCAAAAAAAAAAAATACAAATTAAACATTCAAATGATCAGCCACTTGTATTAAGTAACGATAATTCAATAAATTTGGCCTGGTGTGAGTTCAGAACTTAACTGTCTTTACATTTATTTTATATCTTAGTCACACTTTATATGGAAACTTTGCACAGGGGAATAGGTAAGTCATAGTCCTCTAGGTTTTTTACATGTTTACAACAAAAACAATGATTACTAAAAAACTAAATGTAGGAATATATCAACTATTAAGCAAACTGTAAGAAACTAAGTTAATGTTTCTCATGATCACTTTTTCTTTTCGAAATAGTTGGAAAGATCCAAATAATGACTTCAGAAAAAATTTGAAAATAACTGCAGTGCCTACACTACTAAAATATGGAACAGTGAGTATCTTTCTTTAACTGACTTGGGGCAACAATTCACCCTGTGAAAACTCTTTTAACTTGCGCCGAATTCAAATTTGAAAAGATCTGGACATTTCATCCCAAACATCATACTGCTGTTCAGAGTGCATTAAAAACATACAACCTGGCTGTCCATCCCTATGGCCAATCCCAATAAACTACTAATAATGCAAATATCTAAATATTAGGTCTTTTTCATGCTTTTTTTTTAAAGCTACTCTTTTAAAATTCTATAAGCACTGCTCAAGAAAGTTGGTTAACATGTAATTCCTTAAAATGCTGCCATCAATGGTTGTTTTCTATTTAATCCATAATTTTGCTTGAAAAGAAACAGTACCTCCTTTGGTTGAGTCATGGCCCTGGGATTTAAATTAAAGAGTTGAGGGCAGGGGATGGCACTGGGCTTGCTGTCTCCTATTTTAGTCTACGGAGCCAAGTATTTTAATGACTCATCTTAAGGCAAATATCTTAACTATTTCATAAAACTTGTTACAACTAGTTGATAGTTGATGAATGGCATAATTTCTCTGTTCCAAGATTTGTGTCATTCAAGGCAGAACAACTCATTCCCTTCCTAATAATATTTTTGTAGCTGCAGTTTAAGATTTGACTGTTCTTCCCTTACAGCCTCAAAAACTGGTAGAATCTGAGTGTCTTCAGGCCAACCTTGTGGAGATGATGTTCTCTGAAGATTAAGATTTGATTATGGCAATTGTGTCTTGATTTCCTGATTTGCTCCGGTAGTAAAAAAAAAACTGCATACTTGTTTTGAATTCATGTTAGCAACAAGTAAATAAACGATGATCTAAAAAAAAATCTGGTATATGTCTAACCAATAGAGTTCTATTAAAATGCTCATGAACCCTCAGTTTGCTTGTAATATATGGATAGCTTTAAGATACAGGTAAAATAAGTCTTCGGAGTGTCAGTAATAGCACAAAGGATTGTATTATTAAAGGTGATAGAAATATCTAAAAACCCCTAATAGTGAAGTAGGCAGCTTCCAAATCTCTAAAAGAGTTAGGATCTTTTACCTTAAATTCCATGCATTTACCAAGAACTGTTATGCTAAAACACCTTCTTTGGGTTTAGAATGTAGAACTTAAGCTAACCACTGAAGGAAAGCACAACACGCCTAACTCAGCCCCTGCTTCATGCAGGCACCTGTGTCTCACAGCTTTCTGAATGTGCTCCACTCGGCCTGGGATGAGGTGGGTGGCAGAGAGAGGTCGGAGACTATATAACTTAGTGGGGAGAAGCACTCCAACCCATGAGTCAGTCACACTGATTACCATTTACTAGCTGTGTAACCGCAGGCAAATTACTTAACCTGTCTAAACTTCAGTTTCCTCCTTTATGAACAAGGATTGTTCTGGCAATAAAATGAGAATGCAACTAAGCACTTAACATAGTGCCTGGTTTGTGGTATCTGCCAAATAAATGTTAGCTTTCCCAAATAAGCACAAGTATTTGAGGCTCCTCATCTTTGTACTAGACTAAGGTCAAGAATCCAATTAGTAGTTAACCACCAATCTTCTCCCTGCCATCAACAGGTCAGTGACATACCAATGATTCTTCTTTAAAACTCTCTCGCAAAGCAAGTGGTGATACAAGTATGACTTCCTCTCCTGCAGAATTTAAGAACCTTTATGCACTGCCTGCTCTCTGACTGAAAGAGGTCACTGACTCTATTCCCCTCATTCTACACTAAGAGAGGTGGAGTAGCTGATCTGAGGGACAGTAAGGTTCCAGGAGACAGACTTGCCCCAGGCCCCACTGTACATCAGGAACAGAGCTAGGCCTAGAGTTCAGGATATTTGGTGGCCCTCTCCTTACCCCATCCCCCTTTGCCCCCTTAAATTGGTCTAAAGCACCTAATGTTTCTGCTCTTATTCAGTTGACTGTGTTAAATACTAATAAAAACTTACAAATCCACGGGGAAATCAAAGCAGAACAATTCTGGTTTACCAGAAATAATCTATTAACAATAAAAAGTTAGTTGCATTAAATAGTCCACTAAAGGTTCTAGGTGCTACCACAATAAAGGTAGGTAGGAAGAGTCTCTTTTCGTCTTCACTGTACAAAAGCAATATATGCATGTCTTAAGAGCCTAGTCTGGATCCAGCTTTTCATTTTCCTGATGTGTTATTCTGCTGTTGCTGCTCTGCCAGGGCTTGCTGAAGACGCATCCGCTTCCGAGAATAGTGCTGCCAGTGCAGAATTTGCTGCTCATCAATAAATTTCGCACACTGAGCATTCACCAGCTCCTTGCGGAAGTGTTCATATTGGAGCAGTTCTAACATGTGCAAACACTGAGGGTACCTGGGTTTAAGTTTATAAGTTAATGATCGACATAATTTAAATCAATAATGCCAAGCTCTAATTCAGTTACTCACTTAAAATTGATCTTGTAGCCTACCATTTCTATAACATTAACTTAGAACACTTTGGTAGTATAGAGTTCTTTGTTTTCCTGCTTATGCAAAGAAGCTAGTCATCAAAGGTCAGCATGAAGCAAATTTTCAAAAATGAGAAAACTCAAGTTCAGAAAAATTAAATAACTTGCCCAAGACCACACAGTAACTGGTAAGCAGAGTCAACATTTGAGGCAAATCATGCTATTCTATTCTGATGATTTCCAAAATGAGGAACATGAACACTTTTTATTTTAGTAATTATATGTTTAATTGATAACTACTGGTTTTCCATCAGTAATGATAAAAAGACAACTTTTATTTTAAAAGTGAGTCAATTTAAGAAAGAACTATGCACAAATATTGTACTCTAGTTTTCCACAGGGATAGCAATTCTGAAATTATGTATACTCTAAGATTGAGCAAATACGTAAGTAAATACACTAGGGATAAAGACAGCCAAATTTCTGGCTATCAGAAAAAGAGTTATAGATAAGGAAAGGGGGAAGGCTAGAATGAACCCTGTTGTTGAGCTGGAATGCAGTATGAACTCACGGCCTTTTAATATATAGAGACAGAGAAAGAGGTATGGCTGTGTGTGTATATATACACAGACATACACAGAGTTCCTAGCTTTGTGTGCTGAGAGGGCCTAGAAGCAATGACACTGTGGTACCAATGAATACACTTAGTGCCCAGACGGTGGGTTTTAAATAGCATTTTCCAGAGTTCCTTGGAGAAACAGCTGATTCCAGGGCTAAGGCAGGGAAAGTACAAGATGAGCCTGGAATATTATGTAGTGCCAGAAAAGTGCTCAAAAAATTATGAAGATAAGTCACAAGTACTCAGGAGCCAATCTGAAAGGGCTCCCAATGGCCACATCTGGAATCACCAGAGCAAGAAAATATATAATTATAATCCACAAGCCAAAAATAAGAATCCAAGAGTCCATATTAATGTAACTTTTTTAAATGAATAAATAAATTGGAAACAAAGGTTCCTTCCTTACAACTGAATTCCTACTAACAAAAGTAGAAAGAATGATGGAATTAGAAAATCAACACAGTAGGAGCCGGCCCCATGGTGTAGCGGTTAAGTGCATGCGCTCCGCTGCTGGC